ATCTTGCCAACAACATCTCGTTTTGACATCTCGCGTGGTTCTGTGTGATTTGGACAACTTCAAGTTATGCCCCCTTGTTCAAGTTACGCCTCCTTCCAGTTACTCCCCTCTCTTGCAGTCCGCAGACAGACACTCTTGACAGTTTGGGGGGAGGAAACGAATGGGTGGTCTGTCTCTCCACACAACACAGCCAAAGAGCAAATATGTAAGATACCTATGTGTTTTGTTTGTTTATTGTTTTACATTCCAAAGTGACATAACTAATCATAACACACAGTGTATGTGTCTCAAGTTCTGGTATCTGGTGGCCAGTTGCATAAATTGCTTAGACTAGTCTTAAAAAGTTAGCCATCTAATTTGTTTTGTTCTAGACTGGTCATAACTGTTTAAAGTCAGTAACAAAAATGTAGATTCGCCCAATTTTAATCAGAAAAGTGAGACTGATTATCTTTTGGCTAACTGCTAGTTGGACAAACTAGTTCTTAAGACACAGTCTTAAAGGGATAGTTCACCCAAAAATGAAAATTCTGTCATCATTTACTCACCCTCAAGTAGTTCCAAACCCGTATAAATTTATTTGTTCTGCCGAACAGAAAGTGAGATATTTTGAATAAAGTTTGTAACCAGGCTGTTTTGGGGCACCATTGACTTCCATAGTAGGAGAAAAAAATACTATGGAAGTCAATGGTGCCCCAGAACTGCTCTGTTTCCCACATTCTTCAGAATATCTTCCTTTGTGTTCTGCAGAACAAAGACATTCATACAGGTTTGAAACTACTTGAGGGTGAGTAAATGATGACAGAATTTTCATTTTTGGGTGAACTATCCCTTTAACATAGTGTCTATGTTTATGCAACTGGTCCCTGCTGCTGGTATCGATTTTGTTTCGGTCAATCATTAATCAGGGTCACAAGTATTGTATGAAAAGCAATGAATATTGAAATACACAAAATAATAATTGAGTTTAAAACAGAATTCAAACATCCTAGATCATAGATATGAAAAACTATAGGCTACAGAAAAAATATAACAGACATTAATGTTCATCAAAAATAACGAGAGAAAATAAACAAACAAACACAAATTTAGGACTTATGTGTATTTTCCGTATAGGATTATGATTTTAAAAATATTTGCTGGAGTAGCAGTTCAAAGCTCCTCCAATGCAACTATGAGTTAGAATGTGTGTGTGTGTGTGTGTGTGTGTGTGTGTGTTCATATGAAGGTTTCTGGTCAATGTTTGATAGGTCTCTTTGTCAACACTAACACACACTTTTTTGACTGAACCAAACGGTCTCATGAAACACCAGATGCCGAGGGTAAATTGAAGAACAGTAATGCAATGCACATGAAACAACAAGAAAACAGCACAAAACCCTATGAGCAATAAACTTTTGTAAATTATACTTTTTTTTTTAAAGGCTTTTCAGCAATTTAGTCTTTTTTAGTCTTTGTTATTTCTTGTTGCTGTTCAAGTATAAAGTTGGTGACCTATTTTTATTTGTAAATGTGTAAAAGTATTTTTATATTTTTCAGTTCAAAGCTCCTCCAATGCAACTATGAGTTAGAATGTGTGTGTGTGTGTGTGTGTGTGTGTGTGTGTTCATATGAAGGTTTCTGGTCAATGTTTGATAGGTCTCTTTGTCAACACTAACACACACTTTTTTGACTGAACCAAACGGTCTCATGAAACACCAGATGCCGAGGGTAAATTGAAGAACAGTAATGCAATGCACATGAAACAACAAGAAAACAGCACAAAACCCTATGAGAAATAAACTTTTGTAAATTATACTTTTTTTTTAAAGGCTTTTCAGCAATTTCGTCTTTTTTAGTCTTTGTTATTTCTTGTTGCTGTTCAAGTATAAAGTTGGTGACCTATTTTTATTTGTAAATGTGTAAAGGTATTTTTATATTTTTTGTGATGCCCATTTACATTTGCGGATTGTGTATTTTTCATATATAATAGGTACATTTATAATATAGCCTACCATACTTCCCAACATATTCTCATAATATAAGCTACCATTCCCAGTCAGTGTTGGAGAGTAACTAGTTACATGTAACTAAATTACATAATTTAATTACAAAATAAATGTAATTGTAATCGGTTACAGTTACTGAGAAAAAAATGTGTAATTAAATTAAAGTTACTTATGAAAATGTTAACGATTACAAAGGGGGTTACATCTGTTCTTTTTTCCTCCCACACACACCCACATACCGATTTAATTGATTTATTTGATAAATTGCAGTGACTGCTCTAAAATATGAGATAAATAATTGGACACATGCTTTTTCGATGGGTTTATGTATAGGCCTATGCTTTATTTTTTAAGATTAACTGTTTTTTTCCCAAGCCATTGTTAGATGCCGGTGTTTCCTGTCAGCTATGCAAAGATTTGATTTCAAAAACAGTACAGCTACAAACTATTTCTTGTGATGGTTTTAAATCTTTATTTTCTATTTAACCTCAGAATGATCTCAAAGTAAGTCTGGTTTTGTGGTGGCTATGCTTTAAAATTAAATTATTATAATCTTAATTCAAGCAATGAAAGATTTCGAAAGTGAGAGTAGGCTGATCAGTGTTGAGGACTACTGTAAGGTTAGCTCTGCCTGTTTTACATGCTTGAAAAGGATTAACAGTTGAAAACATTAGAAATGTAGAAAAGTAATCCAAAAATGATCAAATGTAATCAGTTACATTACTTTAATAAAGTCACTGAAATAGTTACACTACTAATTACATGTTAGAGTAACTTGTAATCTGTAACCATTACATTGCCAAAGTAACGCCTGTTTCACACATACTCCGTCTGCAGTGCATGTGCGTTGCGGTTTTTTTACGCACCTATGTTAACGGATTAGAGCTTTCACACTGCACGCGGTCGCGGTCCGTCAGTGCATTCCAGGAGCGGCGCGTCTGCAGCAGTGCAGCGATCGTTTACGCACCGAGTATTTTTGCTGTGCTGCACGCGCTGAATTAAAGTGACAGCGCTTTGTTCGCGGTAAAAATGAACATGGATTGACACGGAAATTTTGTAATTTCACAATAAATAGATATAATTAAAGTCTACTGTGTTTCACGGGCTTTTTGGCTAGGTTTAAAACAAATAAAAGTGCACTTTTAGATATAAAAGGCAACATATGCACTTGTGTCTTGTGGAGGTAGAAAAACAAAGTTCTTTAAGACCCGCTGGACTGTTTGTAATAAAGATTTAAATGTAAAAGGCACGAGAGCCGACTGTTTCTGTCAGTGGTAAGTTTTAATTTAAAATATTTGTGATAACCTAACACAAGAAAGCTATATGCTGTATTCAAATGTGTTTCCACTTGCTTGAGCAACTTAATATACACATCTAAAAGCCAAATGCATTTAATACGCTGTTTATATTAATTGAGTTTAAACGTGAATATATCTATGAAAGATTGTGTTAACTGTACTGTGATAAAAGAGGATCACAATGCTGAAAAAAGCACTTTCAGTATAGGCTAACTACGTTTGGATTTGAAATCAAAATAATGGATAAATGTTGT